AACTATTCTTTCTACACTGGCAGAAGAAGCTACTGCTAAGTGAGATGATCACTTTCTTCCACAGTCTCTGAATCCAAGTGTTTGCTTACGTGACTTTCTGTAAAACCTCAGCAGCAAACCTATTGTTTGAATGGTTCACACTTAGCTCTGAAGTTTATTATTATTGGAGGGCTGATTGATTGCTGGATGTCCATGTCATAGCCAACTCCTCCTCCTCAGCAGTTTGGGTTTGACTGTGGTACTGAAACTATTAGCAAGAAAAGAAGCTGGAGATCGTGCTTGTCCCATTTGGGTTTCTAATGCTTGAAACTTAACTCTGTCATTTCATATTTCTCTTTTTAAGATCTCACTCAGTTCCTTCCAAATGAAAACAGGTATTTACGTATTTATTTAATTTCCCTGCATTTTGTTCAAGGCTACAGAAATAGCTCCAGGGCACTCAGCGTCTGCCACATTTCTCTGATGCCTGCTTTTGGCTGGGAGGGTGCCATCATCTGTGTTTGTCAGTCAGGATTTTGCTCACAAACTGTCATGTGATTAGGCCAGTGCTCCAAACAAACAGTCCACTACTGAGTGACTTCCACTGCACATCTTGTGGTGGAGTTTGCAGCACCTGCTCTGAAAAGAGTGGGAGGAACCAAGCTAAGGGGTTGTTACTGAAGTATTTTGCCACTTAGAATCGTAAACTATCAGGGTTGGGAGGGCATCTAGTCCAACCCCCAACTAAATCATCCCAGCCAGGCCTTAAAAACCTTGAAGGAAGGAGATTCCACCACTAAATTCCTAGTGAAAGAGTAATTCCTACTATGTGCCTTAAACCTCTGCCACTGCAACTTGAGACCATTACTCCTCATTCTGTTGTCTGCTACCATGGAGAACAATCTAGATCCACCCCCTTTTGGGTAGTTGAAAGCAGCTATCAAATCCCCCTTCATTCTTGTCTTCTGCAGACTAAACAAACAACTGCAGTTCCCTTTGGGGGAGGCCTCATCTGGAGTCCTGTGTCCAGGTTTGGGCCCCACACTTCAAGAAGGATGTGGATAAATGGGAGAGAGTCCAGCGGAGGGCAACACAAATGATTAGGGGACTGGAACGCATGACTTCTGAGGAGAGGCTGAGGGAGCTGGGATTGTTTAGTCTGCGGAAGAGAAGAAGGAGGGGGGATTTGATAGCTGCTTTCAACTACCTGAGAGGTGGTTCCAGACTATTCTCAGTGGTAGAAGAGGACAGACCAAGGAGTAATGGTCTCAAGTTGCAGTGGGGGAGGTTTAGGTTGGATATTAGGAAAAGCTTTTTCACTAAGAGGGTGGTGAAACACTGGAATGCGTTACCTAGGGAGGTGGTGGAATCTCCTTCCTTAGAAGTTTTTAAGGTCAGGCTTGACAAAGCCCTGGCGGGGGTGATTTAGTTAGGGATCAGGTCCTGCTTTGAGCAGGGGCTTGGACTAGATGGGGTTCCTTCCAACCCTGATAGTCTATGATTCCCTCAGCCTCTCCTCATAAGTCATGCGTTCCAGTCCCCTAGTCATTTGTGTTGCCCTCCGCTGGACTCTCTCCCATTTATCCACATCCTTCTTGTAGTGTGGGGCCCAAACCTGGACACAGGACTCCAGATGAGGCCTCACCAATGTCGAAGAGAGGGGAACGATCGCGTCCCTCGATCTGCTGGCAATGCCCCTACTTATACACCCCAAAATGCCATTGGCCTTCTTGGCAACGAGGGCACAGTGCTGACTCATATCCAGCTTCTCGTCCACTGTCACCCCAGGTCCTTTTCTGCAGAACTGCTGCCTAGTGTGTAGCAGTGCCAGACTCTGCACTTGTCCTTGTTGAATGTCATCAGATGTCTTTTTGGCCCACTCCTCCAATTTGTCTAGGTCCCTCTGTATGCTATCTGCACCCTCCAGTGTATCTGCCACGCCTGCAAACTTGCTGAGGGTGCAACCCTCTAGATCATTACTGAAGATGTTTGTTGAACAAAACTGGCCACTGGACCGACCCTTGGGGCGCTCTGTCAACTAGACATGGAGCCATTGATCACTCCCTGTTGAGCCTGAGGATCTAGCTGGCTTTCTTTGCATCTTTTAGTCCATTCCTCCAGCCCATACCTCTAACTTGCTGGCCAGAAGACTGTGGGAGATGAGATGACTGTCTCCAAAGCACAGTTCCTGGATGGGATGGCAGATAGATAGATGACTCAGTCTCCCTTAGGAGGGAGTCCCTGACCATCCTCACCTGCTGCCTCCTCTTGGGCGTGGTGGTTGTGAAACCCCCATCCCTTCTGATTGGTGGAGTCTCCTGCTCCCTTCCCTCAGCTGTCTCAGCATCAGGACCTGGGGAGAGAACATGAAACTGGGTGCTCACCTGTATCTGCAGTGCTGGTGCAGAGATGCTTTGCTCTTGGTCTGTCTGCTTCTGGAAGTCACATGCTGCCAATTGTCGTCACTGTTGTTCTGTCCCTGCTAGGCAGCCTGCTCTGCCTCTTCAGAAGGTTGTGCCTGCTGGAGTGTATCCTGATGTCGGTCCGTCCAGGGGATCTTCATGTTCTCTTTGGCAGTGCAGGCTTGGTCCTGGGTTCTTCAGCCCTTGAACCTTCTCTTCCAGTTGGGTGATATGGCCGATGTGGCCCAGCAGCTGACTGATTGATTGCTCACTCACCTTCCTTCTGGGAGATGACAGAGTCAGTGGGCCTGCCTGCTGTTTGCAGCAGGTGTCCTGGGGCAAAGCACCCCATCCCTTGGCTGCAGTGGGCCTGGAGGGCTCTGGCCCCCTCCACCTCCGCCTCCGCCTCCCCAGCTAAACTCCCTTGCGAAACTCCCCTGTTAGCCATCCCTGTTCGCACGCTCCTCTGGTCGCTTAGGGGCCAGCTTCTTAGAGTCCTGCTGGCCCCACCCCCTGAGCAGGGATTGGTGGGTGCTAACAGGCTTATTGCGCACAGCCTTGCCCACCACACCACTAGGCTCAGCATTCACACCCCCCAAACAATCAATCTCATCTGAGCCCACGGCACCTGTCAGCCAAGCTGCAGGCACCCCCCCCCCCACACACAGATACACACTTTCCCCAAGGCCACATCATCAATCACTCCTCCCTCCCAATACAACACTCCAGCCTTTGGCTAGGAAGTGCATCAACCAAGCACTACAACCACATGTTGTTAGCTTGGGACTCTTCCAATCGCAGATACGGTTGCAGCAGCATCTGTGACCAAGCTGCATACTAGCCATTTGACCGTTTTGCACAGTGTGAGACCGCTTTCATTGCTGCTACTTGGAAGTATGCTGCTTTGTGGGCATTTCCCAAAGCCTCTGTAAGGAAGACATTCCCCACTTCCATTGTCACACAAGCAAATACAATAGGATCATTGTGGCCATTGCTCCACCCATCATAGATTCATAGATATTTAGGTCAGAAGGGACCATTATGATCATCTAGTCCGACCTCCTGCACAACGCAGGCCACAGAATCTCACCCACCCACTCCTGCAAAAAACCTCTCACCAATGTCTGAGCTACTGAAGTCCTCAAATCGTGGTTTAAAGACTTCAAGGAGCAGAGAATCCTCCAGCAAGTGACCCGTGCCCCATGCTACAGAGGAAGGCGAAAAACCCCCAGGGCCTCTTCCAATCTGCCCTGGAGGAAAATTCCTTCCCGACCCCAAATATGGCGATCGGCTAAACCCAGAGCATGTGGGCAAGATTCACCAGCCAGATACTACAGAAAATTCTTTCCTGGGTAACTCAGATCCCACCCCAGGCCATATTTACCATGAATAGTTAATTACCAAAACCATGTTATCCCATCGTACCATCTCCTCCATAAACTTATCGAGTTTAATCTTAAAGCCAGATAGATCTTTGGCCCCCACTGCTTCCCTTGGAAGGCTATTCCAAAACGTCACTCCTCTGAGGGTTACAAACCTTCGTCTAATTTCTAGTCTAAACTTCCCGATGACCAGTTTATATCCATTTGTTCTTGTGTCCACGTTGGTACGGAGCTTAAATAATTCCTCTCCCTCTCCGGTATTTATCCCTCTGATGTATTTATAGAGAGCAATCCTATCTCCCCTCAGCCTTCTTTTGGTTAGGCTAAACGAGCCAAGCTCCTTGAGTCTCCTCTCGTAAGACAGGTTTTCCATTCCTCGGATCATCCTAGTAGCCCTTCTCTGTACCTGTTCCAGGTTGAATTCATCCTTCTTAAACATGGGAGACCAGAACTGCACACAGTATTCCAGGTGAGGTCTCACCGGTGCCTTGGATAACGGTACTAACACCTCCTTATCTCGACTGGAAATACCTCGCCTGATGCATCCCAAGACCGCATTAGCTTTTTTCACGGCCATATCACATTGGCGGCTCATAGTCATCCTGTGGTCAACCAATACTCCAAGGTCCCTCTCCTCCTCCGTTACTTCTACTTGATGCGTCCCCAGCTTATAACTAAAATCAATTTCACCCTCTAGACCTTTCGCACACTGATCGCTTTCTCTTTCAGACACAGTATCCAGCAATTTGCTTGCAACATCTGCTCTTTTCCACAGACCGTATCCCAGTCTTTCTTACTGACTGAACCATGTTAACAAAGTGTGAGTTCTCAATCCTACAGAAAGGAGAGTTTGTGGCATAACCAAACCGGACAATTGGTTTCATCGCTTACCTACCTCTTTTTGTGATCTGCAGAGTCTTCTCACAAACTTATCTATGGTTGCTTCTGGACCATTGAAAATCCTTGCCTTTTGCTACACAGGATATACTGTGGCTATGTGACACGTATGATCTGGCTGAACCACTACCATTGGCAGACAACTCTGACACAATAGGAAATGATGGTGATCTCGAAGGTGGATAGGCTTCAGAATCCTGGATGTTAACAGATTCTCCTCACCAACATAAGTCAATGCAGTTCTTTATTAATTATCATCATAATCATTTAGTGACAGGTTTCACAGTAACAGCCGTGTTAGCCTGTATTCGCAAAAAGAAAAGGAGGACTTGTGGCACCATAGAGACTAACCGATTTATTTGAGCATGAGCTTTCGTGAGCTACAGCTCACTTCATCGGATGCATACCGTGGAAACTGCAGCAGACATTATATACACACAGAGATCATGAAACAATACCTCCTCCCACCCCACTGTCCTGCTGGTAATAGCTTATCACTTAGTGTTTAGTCACTGCATTCACTGACACTCAGTACTACTTTCTGGTACTATCAATCATTTTAGGCAACAAACCACTGAACTAGACAGATCTTCTTTTTACAATTTCACCTTTAGCATAACTATATTGTTTGCTCAAACACAAGAATTCAAGAATAGTCCAGAAGGAAGACAGGCAGTCCTTACAAAAGAAATATGAAAGAGAAAAGTTGACCAACCTGAAGATCCTGCATGTTCCTTTCATCATCTTCAACACAGCTTCTGCCTCAGAAGAAACACTTCTCAGGAGAGCGGCAAAGAGTCCGGTGGCACCTTATAGACTAACAGACTCATTGGAGCATGAGCTTCCGTGGGTCAATACCCACTTCGTCGGATGCGTGTAGTGGACCTTTCCACAGGCAGGTATAACTATTCAAGCAAGAATCAGGCTAGGGATAATGAGGCTAGTTCAATCAGGGAGGATGAGGCCCTCTTCTTGTGATGTTGTTTCAGTGAGGCAAGCAGGCCTTGCATTTCACATACACGCCTGTCTTGTCCACAGGTAGAGGAACTTCATTACAATAACCCCAAACTGAATCTCTCTTACAGTCTCCCGGCATTGCAGGTTTTCCCTTCTAGCGAGAGGATGGTACAGTAGATCTCAAATCAGTGAAGACTACACTCAGAAAGACCTCAACACTTCCAGACTATGCTGCCCGAATAGCGTAACTGTTGCTTCTGCTGCCCATCCCTCCCTTCTCTTTGTCCAGATCTATTCCACCCTCAACAATCTGCTGTTAATTGAACTTTCTGAGAGAGGTTAGGGATTGACTCTGTGTACACCAATTTGCAGAGGGATGATAGAGTTGAGGTCTGTCATTTTTTTCTCCCCTCTATTTCTTTGTGCACAAGCAGATTATCTCTGGAGGCGCAAAACTAAGCATCCCTGATGGTATCTTCTAGACAGAGCCCCGTCGCATAGTGCACCAATGCTGGTTCTGGCAGGACCCAACTGAGAGTGCCAATTCAGAACAAATTGCTTCAAGCAAGTCAGTTAGAGCCAAAGGCTGGGGTTTTGCCACCTCTAAGGCAAACCAAACCAACCAACCAGACAAGACTTGTGGTTAGCCAGTGGGGTAAAACCCAGGTCACGCAAGCAATTTCCTTAGGCGCTCCAGTTTCCCAGTATCGCCACCAGTGCCACTCATTATGGGGACAGATGGTTATGAAAACTAAGACCCCAGTAAACAAAAAGAGGTTCTCTCGATCCCAAAGGACCAAGCCCCAGACCCAGGTCAATATACAAATCGGATCTCGCCCACAAACCACGCTGTTGCCGATCCTTTGGAATCTAAAGATCTATTTAGAAAAGGGAAAAGATATTGATGAGAGCTACAACTGGTTAAATGGAATCAATTACATACAGTAATGGCAAAGTTCTTGCTTCAGGCTTGTAGCTGTGATAGAATAAACTGCAAGTTCAAATCAAGTCTCTGGAGTCTATCCACAGCTGGGATGGGTCATCCGTCCTTTGTGTAGAGCTTCCATTTGTAGCAAAGTCCCTCCAGCGGTAAGAAGCAGGATCGAAGACAAGGTGGAGATGAGGCATCGGCCTTTTATAGTCTTTTCCAGGTGTAAGAACGCCTCTTCGTTCGTACTGTGGGAAATTACAGCACAATCAAGTTTGGAGTCACATGGGCAAGGCCCTGCATACTTCGCCAAGTCACAAGGCATATCTATCTGCCTTCTCTCAATGGGTCAGTTGTATAGCTGATGGCCCTCAGGGGGCCATCCAGCAGGCTAGGCAGAGCTGACACCAACTTGTCTGGGGTATCGCCCAGAAGCAGAGCATAAGGTTGAAGTACAGACAGTCTAGAGCCAATATTCATAACCAACTTTAACTACAAAACTGATTGATTGATAGATACACACAGCATAACCTTAGACCCCTTACACGACAACCTTTAGACAATATTTGCTGCAAATATATAACAGTGATCGACACAGTTACAGATTGTCGTCAACATCACAGGTAGATTAGATTAGAAAGATTAACCTAAATAATCCATATGGAAGCCCCTGGAACCCCATAAGATTGGGTCCCTCATCTATGATCTACAACACTTTTCTTAAACATTACATGAATATATATTCTCATACTATAGAATTAGAATTTATAATCCCTATTCCATGATGAGATAGATCTCTATCTATCTATCTTTGAGCTATAATGTATCTTAACTCAACTAAAATTTTCTTTCTTTAGATAGGTTTTTCCCCTCAAACAAACAATTCTGTTTGTTTGAAATCATAGATTAGATTTGTATCCACCCTGCTCTGCAGCCTCAGTATCATTAGTGGCTGGGGCACGCAGCAGTGGGCAGCGTGACTGACGGACACATTCCCATCCACTAAGTGACTTTGCCCCTCACAAGGCAAAAGCTTGCTAACAGAGAACACCACATCGAATTTTGACGTTTTGTTTCTGTATACAATACGCAGAAAGATGCGTGTCTCTTGTTTGGTTACATAAATACACAGCACATAGTTTGAAACATACATACAATACACAAATTGACACACTTGTTTTTAACACAAAACATATGCACCAATAAGGATACATACAAACCCTACACAAATATTTTAACGTGTGGTGTGGGTTTTTATATTAAAATATAAAGTTTGGAAAAAAATGCAGACTGCTTCATTTTAATATGGTTGTTTCAAAGGAAAATTTAGTCAAAATCAGCCCATTTTAAACAGCTGTACCCTCGGCATTCTACACCCGTGCCTCCCCGTCCCGGATCTGATTGCCTACCTTGTTTTCAGACAAAGGGCGGAACAGCATGGTGTCTACGGAGAGCGCCTCATCCACCTACGAGGAGCTGGCACGGGCCTATGAGCACGCCAAGCTCGAGGAGCAATTGCAGCATGCCAAGTTCGAGATCACAGAGTGCTTCATCTCAGATAGCTCTTCCGACCAAATGACCACAGGGACCAATGAGAACGCAGACAGCATGACCTCCATGAGCACCCCGTCCGAGCCAGGCATCTGCAGGTTCACCGCCTCCCCGCCCAAGCCGCAGGACAGCGACAGAGGCAAGAACGTGGCGGTGCCCATCCCTCACAGAGCTAACAAGAGTAAGTATCCTTTCGCTGGCTAAGAGCGCCCCCGTCACCCATGCAGGAGCGAGGCTGCAGCGTGGCTACTGCAGCCCCTGAGGTCCCAGTACGGCACTGTCATCCCGTAGAGCGCGCACACGGCCTTCCTCGGGATTCATCTTCAAGCAGCCCTGCTGTGTTTGGCCACATCTGCAATGTGAGCGCTCACCTAAATTTGCTGCTACTGTCTCCTCCATTTTTGTTCCACGATTCTTTTGGTAGCTACAACAAAAAACAAGGCTTATTTTACACAAGAGTTTGATCCCTATTTCCCAGGCTTTAAGGGCTCATGAGCTCGGAGAGGGAAGCGATTACTTACCACAGAACGTGTCGTATCAGTTTTACCCCACTACGCTCTCGGCCCTTCTAAGGACAAACTGAAGCATGGATGACAACTAGACAGAGCTTCTGCTCTCGAGAGGAGTCAAGGGCCACTGACCCCGTTGCTGTCCTCTAGCTTGCGCACACCTACATAATCCTTTCCAGCAGCTACCTTAGAGCCTTCAGGTTCACGCTGTGATCAATGCTCACTAAGCCCACTTTCCTTTCTCCCTACTAGCCTTACATGTCTGTTATAAGGATTATTATTCACAGATGATCCCTGGTAATTTACTGTTTGTGGCGTTATGCATTGGGTGCTGCTTTCAGTCCTCACTCCTGAAATTCTAAGGAGCAGTCCACTGATGCGGCAAGGTTAAGGGCTCAGTCCTGCAAACGCTGCCACCCACGATCCCCCACCTTCTGTGAGCTCAAGGGGACTCTGCAGATATTACTCCCCCATCCGTAAATATTTGTAGAATTGGACCCTAGAAGAGTAAATGATTTGGTTTGGCTGAGTGGGGACACAGGTGAATCTCACCACCAGAGGTTTATCCCGATTGATAGCTCACAGAGTCTTATTAATTGTTAGTGGATGGACTCAACCCTGCATTCACAGGGAGCTGGGCTAGATAAGCCACTAGCTTCCCACCCCCACCAGGACAGCACTCTCCCCTTTATCTTGTGCATTTAGGGACTGACCTTTGGATCCTATGGACGCTGTTGCTGCCTTGCTAGCTCTGTGCAACGCTTTTCCCTCTAGGGCTCGTGCCATTCCAAGTTGCTGAGAGATGGTGGCCAGCTTTCCATTTTACCTGTTTGTGAGTGAGCTATGGATGCCTTCGGGTGCTGAACTCAAGATAATACCAACCCGGGCCCAGAAATGAATTCTCTAATCTTATAACCATCACTCCACCGTTAGCATTCACCAGGCCTGAATCTGCTGTGATCTGTATAGGAGCCCCCTGCATTTACATTACTTCGTCTCAGGAAGGGTCACCTACTGTCCTAGACCCCTCTTCTGCCTTTGCAGTGATGTTCCCGTGAGGCATGGGTTTCCTTCTCTCCACCCCTCCACTGACAGCTGCTGGGCTGGGGGAAGCGAGAAGGAAATGATCCTCTCGAACCTCAGCCACGAAGCCCCTGGGCGGAACGGGACTCCAGTCCCAGCAAACAAAACTAAACTCCAGCATCTTTCTTCCCCCATCACTATTGCAGTTGCATTTCAGCAGCAGAGGCCCCTCAGGTCTCAACCTTCGCTTTCCTCCTGACAACGCTACTTTTCCTTAGGGTCTCCTCACCGTTACTGGGCAGCCATACGTTAGATACTTCCTCTTTTTATAGCATGGGTCCTTTATCATCCTCAGAGAGGAGAGTATCAAATCGTGACGCACATAAAGAACAGGGATCTTTCCTCTCTGATCCTGATAAGAAAAGCGCAAAGGCAGAGCAAGGTTCCTGGCGTGAAAGCACACACCACAAACCATTTGTGCCTGTGTAGAAAGAGGAGACCTGTGAAGAGCGAAAGACAAACGGGTGCTTGTTGTCAGGCACACGCGGGGGTCAGTCGTGACTCTTGCTTCCCGCACTCTGTGCGAAACTGCTAGGCGTTTCGAGCACCTTACCTCTGTCTTTGTTCCCTGCAGGCGATTACTGCAACCTTCCTTTGTACATGAAATCAGAAGCATTCTTCCGCAAGCCTGACATCCACGATCCTTGTCCAGTGGTCCCACCCAGGGAAGCCTCCATCCGAAACCTAGCCAGGGCTTATCACACGCAAGCGAGGCATATGACGCTAGACCCAGGCAGCAAGCCTTTGGGCCTGCCACACCCGGGCTCCTCCACAACTACTTTACCTCAAAGAACACTCACCATGCCTGTCTCGGCAAACTCCGCTTCTGCTCCTGCCGCTTCTGCTCCTGCCGCCGATCCCGCTCCTGCCGCCAGCGCTGAGCCACGCATGCCCACACACACCAAGATGGGAGGCTCTAGAGACTCTTTACTAGAAATGAGCACATCCGGTATAGGGAGATCTCAAAAACAAGGGGCTGGAGCGTACTCCAAATCCTACACTCTTGTGTAGGAAACTAGAAAACCAATTTAAAAGAAACTGCTGGTTTCCTGCATTATTTATATTGAAATAAAATAAGCTCTTGTACATAATGAACTCTTTTGTATAAATGAAACTATTTTCTTCTTCTCCAGAACTGAAAAAGAAGCCAGGGCACAAAGAATTTGATGTTACAGATTTAAAATATATATATATATATGTGATCTTATATTTCACATTGTTTTGAAAGGAGCACAAAGAGACTCAGCAATTTTCCCCCCTGATATTATTGGTGGTTTTGAAAAGCAAATTCTCAAAGACATTGCATGCTGTTTACTGTTCTGAAAACAACAGGAGTTGCTTTGATTTGCAAATGCTTATGTGTTAATACCTTTTTCTATGAAAAAACCCAGCGCCGTGTGCAATAAAAGTTATGTTTATATGTTGGAGTTTTCCATTTGATTCAAGCCTCAGGATTGCACTAGGAGTGGACCGGGTTGGGAGAAGAGCTCAAACAGCTGAGAGAAGGGTTTAGCGCTCTTAGCTTTTCAGGAGCTCGTGGCAGTTTGCACGTCTGCCTAAAAACCATGGCTGTAAAGCTTTAGCCAGGACACTAAGCCTGCAGGGAAGCACGGAATGGAGAGACACAAGCCAATCCATCACGGATCAGCAGGAGCCTCTCCCCCACCCCAGAGGGCAAGTGTCAGGCCAGCTAGGAATTGCGAGGGCATACGCTTTCTTGCCTACCTTTTGTCTTGCTTCTCGGTAGTAGCTGTGAGCCCGCAGCAGGGCAGGGAGCAGGCACGTCGGCTGTCTGCAGGCAGAGGCAGTGCCCCAGTGGCTCCGAGGCAGCTGGGCATACTCACTGAGGAAGAAACCAGTGGCAGTGCAGTGAGGTGCAAGGAGGCTGCGAGATATGTAGGAGGCTGTGCAGCCTGGCTATGGTCCCAGTCCTGGACGGGCATGTGCCAGGGCAGCATCCTATGACTTCAAGAGGATTCCATGTAGGAACGGCTCCAAACTGGGTCCAGGAGAACCTCAAAGACACACACAGAGCAAATACTTCACTGCCTTGAGGCTTTAGCCCTGGTACTCAGGGCTTCAACTGCGGGGGGCAGGGCTTCAGCCCCCCAGGAGGGGCCTAGACTTGGGGTGCGCCAGTTTCAGCCCCAGCACTCCCCCCATAGCCAAAGCCGCAAACCCCAGAGCTTCCCGCCCCCCGCAGCTGAAACCAGGAGTGGAGCTGTGGGGAGCCCCACACAGGGCTGGAGCCCCAGCGCTGCCCCCAGGTCTAAAGCCCCGAGCCATGGTGCTCCCAAGGGTCAGAAGCCTTGCTGAAGAGGCTGAAGTCCATAACGTCTTGGTCAGTGTTACCGACAGCTTCCACTTCTGAGGTTCTGCTGTAGTTCTCATTTGACGCTAGAGGAGGAGGTGCAGCGTGTGAAGTCCGGAGCTGTTCTGGCCCCCATATCCGTGCTGTGCACGGCTCTCCCCGCAGACACAGCTGCTCTTCCGGAGTAAGGAGTTGGACTCTCGCAACCCTTTCCTTTCTCTCGACCCGCAGCTGGCTACACGGTGAATGAGATGCCGAACGTAACATGTTCTTCATCAGAAAGAAAAGATGCGTGGGTGACCTGAGAGCATTACAGTACAGGAGAAGAGCTGGGGTTTTTTTTAAATCCCAGCTACAGTTAATTGGGAGACATTTTCTACATAGACTAAAATCTATTGAATGTGTAAGGACATTCTGTAGAACCTAATTTTCCAAGGGCAGTTTTGCTCTGAAACATAGATTAACTGTTTGTTTAAATTCTATACACAGAACAATGGATCTTGGTTCCTATGTACAACATTGCAACTGTATTTTAAATTCTGCCTTGGGATGGGCGCTGCTAGCAGCTGTAAAGAGAGCCCTTTGGGAGCCGCCCACCAACCGCTTCGAGCACACAGGGGACTGGGTTTGGCTAGAGGAGGAGCAGGTTGGCAGGAGCAGAAGGGAGAGCCGCTTCACACGTGGGGGCTTGGCCGGGATCCATCTGCCAGACAGAGCCAGGAAAGCTTGAGAGGCAGCCTGTGTGAGGAGAGGCTAAACCTGGAAAGAAAAGGCAGGCAGAGCACCAAGCCCCAGTGGGATGGCAGGCAAAGAAACAGCAGGCACTTACTTCCGGAGTTCCTGAAGGAACAGACCCACGTACAACAGCAGGTATTACAGAATCTGACAAGTCCTGCACTGGGGAGGGGGGCTGGGCCCGGGGAGGATCCCAGTGCCTTTCTACTGACTTTCAAAAGAACTGCTGCTGGCGTGAGCTGGGGTAAAGGTTTGTGGGCATATCGTTAGCCCTTACCTGTCGGGAGAAGCCCAAGTGCTTACCTGGCATTGAGCAAAGAGCAGGCCAAGAACTCTGAGGTGTTAAATGCTGCTATATTGAACCATGTAGGTTTGTGTCGGCCAAAAGATACTGGCAAAAATATAGGGCAGCCAGGTGGACATCTGGGGTAAGGCCCAGAGCATTTGCACAGATTGGGACTGACTGGGCCAACTGCTGGCTGAGGCAAGATGTGGAAGCAGTCCTGGATGCTGTGATATTACGCAGAGCCTTCCAGAGACCACGAGGGTCTGGAGACACCAACCAGAGACAATGGAGGCAACGTCAAAATTGGCCAAGAAGCATTCCAAGATTTGCAAAGAAAAGCAGCTTGTCCAACACAAGCAGTATGACCTGCAGGCGTGAGACAGGAAGAAAGGAAGGCCACTTGGTCAGACACGATATAACCTGCTAGCAGCGCAGGGGAAAAGGCATCAAGTGGGACAGCTCATATATGAAACGTGGTCTGGGGGAACGTTGTGGCTAGACTGGGGTGATGGAAAGCTCTCAGAAGGGAGTAAAAACTGTTCCGGTAAGGGTGGGCTGACAACCAGAGATCGGGTTGTTTCTTCAGAGGCCAGTTACTCACTCTTGCAGAGCAGGCTGGTTACATCACCGTGGTTTTGGGACGGGTACGTGCTCTAGGAATGGAGCGTATACACGGGGAGGAAAGCCTTTTCCAGCGGCATCATCCCAATAGAGTTGTGCGGGAGGTAGAGGCCCCCCATCCCGGGGTTGTGGGGACTGATTGGAACCCATTCCCTTTAAGGATATGAAGAGCCGCGCACTGGAGGGAACCTCAATGGATGGTAAGACACAGAGGGGTCAGTACAGGACTCAGACCCACAAGCCAAAAACGTGAGGCCCAGATTGGAAATGCCAGGGCAGAGAAAAAACCCTAGACAAATACCAACGAACCCAGAACGTGCAGCCCAGGTGGGAAATGCTGGAGAAAGGGGTGAAGGAGCAAAGGGGGCCTATACAAGGCAAACCAAAGGAAAAGACGGAGCAAACCCCCAGTTGGGGGCCCGAGAGGAGGTGGATGCCGGAGGACTTAATAGCTAACAGGGAGCAGAGACCATCAGACTGTGAGGTGCTGGTTGGGGAAAAGGCCACAGCGTGCTCTACGAAGGATGGGACAGACACAGGGCAAAAGTCTGTGGGATGCCCCTGTGGGTCAAAAGAGCCCTAGGGTAGACGCCCACCTAAGGAATGCTCATTCTGTGGATGGAGAATGGGAGACGGTCCACAAGAAGTCAGACTAAGGGGATTCCAGAGGCAGTGCGGGATTGCTGCCCTCCATAAAGAAGGGAGAGCACTGACCAGAAGAAAGCTGATCCCTCGTTAGAAAAGGGGGTCCTAGCTAAGGCTGTACTAACATAACACACAGCTCCCCCCAGGAACTCTGTTCTTGCCAGCAAGGGCGGGGCAGGCCAGGCTTCACGAAAATACCAGAGCAAGCACCTCAGTTGGAAATACCATCAGAAGCACCAGGTCTGTAAAGAGAAGGGCTGACGCAGTGGAGGCAAATACCATTTCCTCCTCTGTACCCTGCTGGGAATGGGAACAGCAATTCTCCAGTCACTGAATGCACAGTTCTAGCAGCATGCCCAAGAGCAGGCAGGAGGCTATGGCGCAGCGGCTTTGTAGAAGTGGTGGGTGCTGTTTCCTTTTCTGTTTTGGGGCTGGAGGGATGTCTCGCTCGTCTCCACCCAGTCTGGTGTTGGGTTTGACTTTGCTGCTCTACAGAGACACTCAGGGCAGCATTCTCCACCTGCAAACCCACTGCCTGCCACCTTCCCACCCTACTTGCTCTCTTGCTGCTCAGTGAAGGGTTTGAGTTCTGCTGTACCATAGGAGGGGTGCTCAGACCATGCATCCAACTGGTATAGATAAATATCTGGTTTCCAAAAACAGATGCCCACAGCAGTTGCCAGCTCCTCTGCCTTTAACAGCGGCAGCAGCAGGGAGCCAAGTTCACCATCAGCGAACGCCAGGAGTTTGAGCAGGTTGGTCTTCACCCTGAGTTATCGAAAGACGGCAGCCACAGGCTCTTCGTATACCCCTCACTGTGCTGAGAGTCATCTTTTTAGGACTAGCACTTTGTCTATGCTTTATTTACTGATCTCAAAGCACTTTACAGAAGTAGGGAAACTGAGGCAGGGGGGGCGCACAAATGAACACAGGTGCATGTGGTAAGACACAGATTACAGGCCTGCTGCCTACCAGTGCCATGCTCTAACCACCGGGACAAGTTACGTTTTCGCATCCTGGTAGACCGCCACCACGGCAATGTTTGCCGAGTAGCAAGTTCTGTAAGAACCACCCACAGCCCCTACGGGCTACAGCGAGACAAAAAGGTTGTGCCCGATCCTTACTGAGAAGCCCCTCAGTTATCAGAATGGATTATCATACTTCAAATCACATTCATTTCAGCCTGGGTGCTGGTTAGATTTTACACTGAGACCAGTCATCTTCTGGTTCTCCCCATTAGACCAAGGCAAGAATGTTTACAAGCAAACTAACATTTCACAATCTTTAAAAACATTTCTACGACGATTGAACAGTCTGAAACAAGGCAGAGACACAAGTCCTAAAGGGAGGGCCCTGTAAACACCCCTGGCATCGGCACAGTGCTGTAGTCTGTGACCACGTGTTCCTCTGAGGTCTGAAATTTCAACCCAGAACCGCAAATGAAAGAGCCAAGAATACTCTCTGCTGTTTGACCAAGTGGGTTGGCAAAATAACGAAAGGCAGAAGACTAGATTGTCACTTCTTTATTATCATGTAGCTGGTACAAATCTCAATCCTACATTCTAACACAAATTCTCCACTGTACTTTCCCATGCAACTACAGGCCATGCTATTGCACAGCTTTATCCAATCTGGCTCGATTTCCACCACTACAGAAAGATGGGGAAATAGATCAGCCCTAGTCCAGCCTCATTTGTTGTTGCTGTAACAGGCATAGCATTGTAGGAAATTACAAACCAGCATTTCAGGGGAGGAGAAAGTTGCCGAAAGGAATTCAAGTCAAACTGGCCAACCTTTAACTCCCATTTGTTTCACCTGCCCTAAAACATGGGAGGTGCAAGAAACTATTGAGTGAAAAATCAAAGTTTAAAAGGACGTGAAGCCAGTGTCCCCTTTACCTGGTGTCTCTGCCGCACCCAGTACAAGAGGCCCTGATCCTGGCACAGTGCCTCCACAATACAAGCAACAAGGACTATGAGGCTTTCACTGGCTCTTGTTTAACAACCCTCTGCGCAGAAGAGCTGGAACCAGCTGTGCAATAATCGAGGGCCAACAAGCTGTCACTAGGCCATGGCTTGGAACGAGTACGTAGGGGATCAGAGTTCAAGAGGCAGATACAGGAAAAGAGGGCGCAGAACTACTGGGGAGAGGAGAGAACCCAGAGACAGTAACCCCCTCACTGAGCATTGACATTGGGCTTTACATATTTAAAGCACTTTACAAGCATTGATTAACAAGCACGCAGCTGGGGGTGCAGCAGCATTCATGGCCATGTGGGAGGGAGCTAGGTCAGCCTGCAACGGGGGGCACGGGGCGGGGGGGGGGGGGGCAGGCTAGAGATGCGGGACCAGGCGCTCTCAAGGAGGTTTAAGGGCCAGAGTCCATTGTGGGTACTGCACAGAATCACTGTCAGCTACAGCAAGGAGGCAGCTGAGAACCCTTCTCAAGGGGCCAGAGCAATATAGTTGAACACTAGCAATCTCTTGTGCACAAGACGATTCATAGGTCCCCCCGCACCCCGCCACCCCACCAGGGCAAAGTCTCTCCCACTTACAGCTGTTGGAGGGTTGCAATGCACCAGCGTATAAAATTCCCTTACGTTTGTTCTAATGTAACCAGCCAATCCATCCTGACCCCTCAATGACGTTCTCACTGCACTTCCTGGGTTACCCAATGCAGATACACATCCCAGAGCTTGACACCTTTACCCTGCTCCCCATAGATTCCCCCTCCCCCCCCTCAAAAACAGTCCTCTTACAAAACCCTCAGAGAGACAGGGACTTAGCAACTCCACCCCCACCTCCTGGAAGCACATGCCACTAGCCATATATAACTGTGAGAGCTCATCACCACATCCCCCCAGTCTATTGCGTGCACTGCTCTGGCCTAATGCCGAGGACACTGTAAACTCCTCCAGGCAAACAGTGGGTCTCTTACCTGGCCGTATGTCATGGACAACTGTGGCCTAGCTAGAGGACAGCGGTGTGACTAGCCCCATCGGGCAGGAGCGATTAGCAGAGGGAACGACTACTAGGTTAGGGTGACAAATCAGAAGGGACAGGAGAAAGGAGACAGAGAAGATCCATCAACCGTGCATCAAGTTAATTGCAGGGGTGGTGGTCAGCATCCACACATTTGCAAGCACCTCCTTTCTATGCCTCTCCCAGCTGCTCAACCTACTCCCGTGACCCCACGACCCCTCCCAGCTTACCACAAACCCTACAGCCCCTGCTGCCAGCTCCCCCTTCCCCCAAGTAACCTGGCCCCTCTCTCTAGCTTTTGTCCTGCTAGAAGTACCTAGCTCTCTAAGAGTCAGCACTGGCCCCTGCTGCGGCTCCAGGACACAGACCTGCTCCCATGAGGGCTCTGGAGCAGGCAGAAACATGCCCTGGCACGCTGGGTTAGTTACTATGTGGACATAGGACTGCTGCCTCCTGCCCACTCAACCGCGGTCACATGGCCAGACGGTGGAGCTGGCCCAAGAGCTCAGCTTCACCATGGAGGGATTCATTCCAGATCTACAAAAGGAAAAGAAGGCGGACTTGTGGCACCTTAGAAACTATTATCTAAGGTGCCACTAGTACTCTTTTTCTTTTGGCGGATACAGACTAACACTGATTCCAGATGCCACAGTGAACCTAGCTCGGCACTGCACTGAGGGAGGGGTGTCCTGCCCTATGCCAATTTCAGACAAGCCCAGACACTTAGAGATGCCAGATGTGGCCCCTCTGCTCCCTCCCACCCACCTCCTTGGGTGCAAGAGGCCAGAAAGATGGGAAAAGAGCCGTGTGCAAAAACGTACATCCAACCGATGGGCACTTGGACACTCCAGCACTGAAGGTGGCGTGAGAGTGCTGGAGCCCCAGTTAGCACCCACAAATCTGAGATTTGGGCCTGCAGGTCTCAAAGCTGGGCTCCATGTCAGTCTCTGGACTCCAATTCCCACCCAGTCAAACACTTGCTCTCCCTGCGCCCTGCCCAGACCCCCGGCAGGGGCTATGGCATGCGGGGATGGGCTTGCCACAAGGCTTGCAACTGAGGGCCAACGTAGACACCCTGACAAACACGGACATGTCTCTAAATCTCTGCACACAGGGAGCACTAAGAAGAAGGGAGCAGACAGCAGGCGAGTGTGGATTCAGGGAGCCACCACAACAGTGATGGAAAAACTTCTTGTTCACAAGGAAAACCAACCCAACACATAAGACAGGGATCCCGGCCACGTCTATTTCTTCTCATGCTTGTGCTGCTGGTATTTCCTGTAGTGAGTCTGGATCGTGACGGCAGCCCGCTCGGTCGGGTCACACAAGGACTGGCTCTTGCTGCTCGAATCAGGAATCATGTTACCTGGGGAGACAGGCAAGCAACACGATGAATCCAACAGTCTGAACGCGTGCTGGTGAAAGGCGCCAGCAACAGCCCTGCAGACTGAGCTCTAGATCCACACGGCAGGGACAGCAGAGCCCTGCCAGCAAATCACCGCTGACCACTCCTAGGGACGAGTGGGAATTCAGTGTACATGGCCCAGGCCAGCCTCTGCCTTACCACCACCACCACCGGACCCAGTTCGTGCCATCAGCCAGGGGGTCTTCTGGCACGTGGGTGCTTGTCCACCGGGGCCTGCAAGACTGACCGCAGGTGGCAATGGTCAGTCGCTGCCAAACAGAACCGACCGTAACGGAGCAGCCTCAAGGCCAAAGGCTCTAGTGGGCCATTGCCAAGACTTGCTCCAGCCTCCTGCCCCCGAGTGATGGGCAGAGCTCGGAGCTGGGAATTCTGTTGCACTCTTACATAAGCCCCCGCTTATGCTGACAACTCACAGGCCTCCGCTCCCGCACAGTAATGGATGCAGGGCTCTTATCTGCCACCCGTCCATACGACATCCTTAATCTGCTGCTCGTCTCTCCAGGCTAACACAAACAGGCTGCCACATTTCTGCAGAACAAAACCTGCCCAACCAGGGCTGACCTAGGGTTCTTAACCAGACCTATCCCCACTTCCCCCACCCCGTAGGTGGTCTCGTTAGAGTGCGCTGGGGAGTCCCAAATGGACGACAAGGATGGGAATTGCTTCCGGTGGGAGTTCCTCACAGAGGCCAGCGTTCAGGGAACTCAGCACTAAACACAACTGGAAGGAAACCCCAGTTCTCTCTTTTTAACTGTGAATTTAGCCTTGGGGAGAGTAGCTGGGTCGATGACCCTGGAGAGACTCATACCCCTTATTTAACCACAGATCAGACAGCAAAGGCCTCCATGGCCCATTGAATCCTTAGCACTTCTCTTCACATCAGGAAGCCTCCGACAAGGTCTCACACCAAAGGCTCTTAAGCAAAGTAAGCTGTCGTGGGAAAAGAGGGAAGGTCCTCTCCTGGATCCGTAACTGGTTCAAAGACAGGATACAAAGGGTAGGAATGATCGATCAGTTTTCACAGTGGCAAGTGGCAAATAGTGGGCTGTCCCAAGGAGTTGTACTGGGACGTGTGCTGTTCAACATATTCATGAAGGAGTTGGAAAAAGGGGTAAACAGCGAGGTGGTAAAATTTGCAGACAATACTAAATTACTCAAGACAGTTAAGTTCAAAGCCGACTTGAGGAGTTACAAAGGGATCTCACTCCACTGGGCAACAAAATGGCAGATAACTGAAAAGTAATGGAAAACATAATCCCAACTATACATACAAAATGATGGGATCTAAATTAGTTGTTGCCACTCAAGAAAGATCTTGGAGTCACTGTGGATAGTTCTCTGAAAACATCCACTCAGTGTGCAGCGGCAGTCAAAAAAGCAAACAGAACGTTAGATAGCATTAGGAAAGGGATAGATAAGACAGAAAATATTATAATGCCACTCTGTAAATTCATGGTATGCCCACACCTTAAATACTGCGTGCAGTTCTGGTCGCCCCATCTCATAAAAGACATATTAAAATTGGGAAAAGTACAAGGAAGGGCAACAAAAATGACTAAGGGTATGAAACAGCTTCCGTGTGAAGAGAGATTAAAAAGACTGGGACTGTTCGGTTTAGAAAAAAAAGAGCTGACGAAAGGGTGAAATGACTGACAGAGGTCTGGAAAATCATGACTGGGGGGCGAAAGTGAAGAGGGACGTGTTATTTACCTATGCACATAACACAAGAACCAGGGGTCACCCAATGAAATTAATAGGCAGCAGGTTTAAAACAAACAGAAGGAAATACTTCTTCACACAACACACAGTCAACCTGTGGAACTCATTGCCAGGGGATTTTGTGAAGGCCAAAGGTATAACTGGGTTCAGAAAAAGAACTAGATACATTCATAGAGAATAAGTCCATCAATAGCTATTAGCCAAGATGGCCAGGCATGAAACCCCATTGTCCGAGCAACCCGAAATCTCCACCATTAAAAGCTGGGACTGCACAACAGGAGATCGATCACTTGATAATTGTCCAGTTCTGTTTGCTTCCTCTGAAGAATCTGGCACCGGCCACTGTCAGAAGACAGGATACTAGGCAAGATGGACCACTGGTCTGACCCACTATGGGCATTCTTATCTCCACCGAGCCCAGCACAAGGGGGTCACTTACACCTACTGCAGCACCAGGAACTGTTCACTGGACTGAACCAAGAACCACAAACCTCCTTACATGCAGGCCACGGAACAGCCATCACCAGGTAATCGCTTCTAATCACCACCAACCTAGTCTGGATTTGAACAAGGCGCCAGGCTGCGACTAGCCTATTGCCAGGCCCCTGAGCCACACAGCCTCTCCACCAAGGCAGCATATTAATAGTTGGCATTCAAGACCCCTCATCTGCTATGCAACGCTGTCTTGCTTGGTGTATTTGTACCCCAGTGGCTGAGCCTGGCTTCAGAGCCCTCTTGCTCATCTACAGCCACATCACCACTTACATTGCAAGCAGCTTTGTGCTGCTCCTGCATCTCAGAGGAAGGGAGGGAATCCTTTTGCTGCAACGATGTTAAACCACTAGATTTCCAAGGTGTAACACACCCAGCACGCTCAACAGAGCTCGCCCCCGCCTCCAGCAGCTAGAGGAGATGGGAAGGTTACTCCCAGGGGCAGTTAAACCCAGAGATACTAGGCGAGGTTCTGGGTACCCTGTGCTATTCTAACCTTGCAGGCCCTGTTTGCTATATTACACACAGCTGCTTCACAAGTCCATGCAGCATCTGGTAATTAATCACCTGGGCTCTATGGAGTTGTACAGGGCACTTCCAAGGCGAGGGACTCAGCAGGCCTAGAGAGTTTGTTTCACGTGATGAAAAACGCAGCTATGCCAGGAAGGTTGCACGCCCCGAGACTGCGGAACCCAGGGAAGCTCTTGACACACTGCACGAGTTGTGTCACTTCCTGGGTGAGGGCCTCAGAGATCAAGAGATCCCAGACTGGTTGCCGCCCCAAGTACTCCCCACTTCCTGGGCTGGGGGGGATAACCCAGAACACGAGGCCAAGCAACCATTGTTGCCATGAAGGAGACGAGGTGCCCAAGAAAGTCACAGTCCTGCACGTTTCACATCCCTCCAGAGCACAGAGGAGCGCAGACCCTGTTACTCACACTAAACAGAGCCCGCACTCTGGATGAAGATCTCACTACAACTCTCAGGGAGCACCCTGCCCTCTCTGGGGTAGAAAGCTCCTCGAGGTTTGCCCCATTTTAGCAAGAGACCTGGTTTTTTCTGCACCCTGTACGTAGAAATGAAAGAAAGCCACAAAGCTAGCTGTGCCCAGCAATGGAGAGGGGTCATTTGAACCCATCGTAGCTGGGGGTTGGAGCCGTGCCTGCAGGACTTGTCAGCTGTCACCCAGGTACTGGGGTAAGCAGAGGAGAATCTGCCTTTGAGTCCTTTGGTCAAATCAGCCCGTCTGCCATATATTCTACAGAGAGGCCATCATCCAAGTCCCTGCTCCAGAGGGGGGGAAAAACCCTTTTTCATTACTGACTAAAAATAAATAGCCAGGTGCTACCAAGGACAAAATCCAGGCTCTCAGCACAGGCCACAAGTTCAATGAGTTTGCCGTTCTCTGCCTATTTTTCAGGCGTCTACACCATAGACTTGTTCCAAATGCACTGTGCAGTTCCCCCAAGGGCCCCAGAAATGGCACACAACCACTCGGCTCGGGTCTGTATGGACAACATCCAGGTCAGAGAAGCGGTGGAGCGGGCAAGTGATACAGAAGGGAGAACCCTCCCTCGCTCTCTGCCAACACTAATCCCACTATTTAGACAGCTGTGCTCCCCAAAGCCCTCCCCGTGTTTAATCACAGAGCGGGATGCTCACTCGCTGGCGCACACAGAGAAGAGTAAAAGGAAGCAGGGCACTGTACAGGAAAGAACCGCTCATGCTGATAAATGGGAGCACTCCCTGCCCGATGCTTAATGTCGCATTAGGGAGGTATTGTGAAATTCAACAGAAGCTGAACCAAAGCAGCCCAGCAGCGTTCTTTTAAGCCAACGTGTCACAGCTAAGCACTCCCCTAGCGGTGCTCCAACAGCCCCGTGCCAGATGCTGCTGTATCAACTCAGCTGTGTCACCTGAACCCATGTTTATTCACATCCTAAAAGAAACTGCAAAGTAAGAGACACATAAAACAGCCCGCATTGGGAATCAGCTCCTGCCTGCCTGCTCACAACGGGCCCCATCTGCCATAAATCCTGTTCTCGGCACTATCGAACGCCAGAGGCCATGGAGGCAGTTGGAAGTGCGGGGAACATGCAGCAGTAAACCAGGAATAAGCCCCATCTCCGTGTGGACTGTTGTCAGCTCTTAAAGAAATACACCAGCCAAAGGATCTCTGCGGGGCTGAGCAGATACTGACCCTATCGATAACGCTGCATTGCTGTAACCCCACAAGTCCAGTTCTCAGCTGGGAAGCAGCCAAAATAGTCCTGTTAGGGTGAAAGTCACTTAGGCCTTTGTGGTTTTCACTGTCCATCACTGCAGGCTACAGAACAACAAACAGATGCAGCAAAAACCACCTGGTTGGTAAGTGTGGATCCCTGCACTTGGCACCTCTGACCACAAGGCTACACTGCCCCTCTTCCGTCACAGTGCCCCCATACGGAACTATGGAGAACATTTAGCACTGATATAGCACTTTCCACCTTCAAAGAATCAATTGCCCTGCATGACACCCTGGGAGGTAGGTCAGGATTACCAGCTCCATTTCAGAGCAGGAAACTGAGGCACACAGAGGGGAAGTGACTTACCCACGGCCACAGGAGGAGTCA